GGAAAGGAAAGGAAAGGAAAGAACTAAACAGAGAATAATAGCAATTATAAAAGAAAACAGCAAAAATTCTTAACCCCAAGGAGGAATCCTGTGACAAGGGAAGGGGTTCAGTTCCCCATCTTCATTAGGAAGATTGGGAACTCATCAACACACAAATTACAAAATAAATATAAATATTGGAATTAGGAGTATGCTCAGGAAAAACCCAGGACTCCTCCAAAGCCTCTCATGGCAACAGCAGAGCCTCTGGTAAGAGCCACCCCAAGAAATCAGAACCTGCAATTTTCGGAAGACACAGGAACCAATTATTCAGTATTAAATACCAATTAGTCAGTATTAAATACCAATTAGTCAGTATTAAATACCAATTATTCACTATTAAATATCAATTATTCACTATTAAATACCAATTAGTCAGTATTAAATGCAAGGGAAATTTAGATGCCTCCATCACAATTGTTGGTGCCACTGGAACTTGTGAACTCTGCCCCTTTTTCAAACCTGTTAAGTTCAAACTAGAAAAATTATAATAGCCTTTTAAAAGTTATTATAATTAAAAGTTTAAATTTTATAATAACTATAACAACAATAATAATAGTAACAACAATAATAACAACAATAATGAGTTATTTATTTATGATATTATAAAGTATAATATAATAAATAAATAACCCATCAATTTTTGTACCTAACTCCCAAAACTGTTATTAAGGAAAGACTTACTGGGAAAATTAAGTACAAAAATCAAGTTTCAGGAAGGATACATTCAAATTAAAATCTCTGAGTCTAAATACATGTAAACTTCAATTTTTATATTACACTGACTTCCCAATCTGAACCTATCCCAAAGAGAATTAAGGATGCAGTAATCCCCTTTGTGTGGGCCAGGGAGATTCCTGGAAAATCAAAAAGAGCAGAACCTGTGAGAACCAAATTGAATCAGACAATGGCCTGGTAAGACAAAACCAATATCCTTTAAAATTAAAACATTGAAAAAGCTCATTACCTAAGATTAAGAAAATTTTAAGGTACAGGCTGTTGGTGAACTCCAGTTTTGCCAGAAAAATATGAATTGTGAAGACTTGCAGTTAGTACAAGACTCAGGAGCAATTAATAAAATGGTTAACTAACCCAAAAATTGCTAAATTACCCAAAACACTCATAACCACACTAAAAAAAAAAGTAAATAAATAAATAAATTTGGAATGGCTCACTGTAATAGATTTAAAGGAATTTTGAATTATTAGTTCACCCTTTGTATGGAGTTTTAAATATTTTATATAGTAATAGCCAAACAGAGTTTATAGCCATAAATACTTTCAAATACATAAATACTTTAAAATACAGAAATACTTTATTATATGGCCTGATGCTACTCAGGCTGCTTTCAAATGACTCAAAAAGCCCTGATGAGGTCTCCAGCTTTGGGCTTCCTAGATCCTGTGAAATGTTTTGAATTATTCTCTCATGCCAAGGCTGGCCCTACTGTTTGTGAGCAGTCACAGTTACAGAGATATCAAACCAGAATATAGCACAAAAATTCAGGTAATCAGAATTTTATATTCTAAATTTCCCCCTGGTGGATGGGCAGTCACCCCTGCTGGACAAGGAATAGTTTCTGAGTGAATAAATTAGGGATGGAGGTTATCAAATGTAGGAACTCTCCTGGAGATTATTGGCAAATTGGCTTTACAGAACCTCCATGCAAAGAGAGCTGTAAATTTCTTTTAGTGGATCCCTGTTCTGGGTGGCTGAAGCATTTCCCTGTTGCACCAACATGGCAAAAGAAGTAGTGGGAATATTTCTAAATCAGTTATTTCCATGCTTTGGAGCTCCTCTAGGAATGCCATCAGACAGAGGATCTCATTTTATAGCAGGAATTGTGGGATAAGTTAGCAAGGCTTGGGAATCCAGTGGGATTTACACACTCCATGCTGGTCACAAGAAAGGCAGAAGGAATGAATTACACTATTAAACTTAAATTATTATCCCCAGCCAGAATAAAATTGAGGATAAAGTAACTTACAGATATGAGCAACTGGAGTATTGCTCATATCTGTAAGAGGTGTCTCCATAGTTCACCAAAATCTTTGTTTGCCAAAAAAATTTTTGGAGTTTCACAGAGGGGTTAGGCATGAAAATTCCTATGAGAATTTCAAGTAGCTGAAATATGAAAGGTAATTAATTGCTGGATATGTTCTCAAGGCTCCACAGAACCACATGGCCTTAAGGAAAAATTTGCTACTATGGGACGAGAAGGTTAACTTACATCAGGAATGAGTTTGAAGCCCAGCAGACAAAAATGGATAGAAAAAGCAATGGAAGAGTGGCAGAAATAAGAAAATTCTTTGATGAGGTTGGCTTAACTCTTGGCCACCAACCTGGGGACTGCTACAAAATGCATTTGTGGAGTCATCTGTAATAATTGCAGTGTTTACTTGTTTGTGTTCACTTGCTGTAACACTTTGTGCTGGAAAATGAAGTATTGTGACTTGCCTAAAAGAGACAGTCTCAAGAAAAACAAGGATTTGATAAATAACAAAGAGAATAAAACATTTCAGCTCCTCTTAAGATGCTGGGAGAGAGCAGAGTCTTTTTTTTCTATGTGTTTATTTCAGGTGAGTGTGAGCAGAGGCTGCAGTTCCCACATGGTTTGGTGCCAGGATTCCATGCAAGCCACAGCTGCAGAGACCCATGAAGTGCCAGTCAGCTTAAGAAAAGTCTCTAGGACATGGAACAGGCAAATTTTTTTGCAAATATTTTGCAGTTGGAACAACAAGAGATCGAAATAATATTGAGATAATTAAAACCCCTGATTTCTAACTGAAAGCACAGAGAAAAATCAAATATTTCATCATGCAGAAGGACTTTATATAAAACCAGAAATACTTGCTTTGATGCAAAATGGGGATGGGAGGGGGGGCTCAGCATCTCAGGGGTAAGGAGACAACACCAGGGTGGTTGAATTCCCTGACAGAGAAACTTCAGTGCTCCGAGGAACTGCCCTGACTGCATTAATATAAAATAGTTTTAGTGTTCAGGAACAATTTTAGTGTTCAGAAACAATTTTAGTGTTCAGAAACAAATTTAGTGTACAGAAACATCCCTGTTCATCTGAAAGCAAGGATTGAATGGATGGTTTTTGAAGAAATATGGCCTTGGCAAGAGGAGGAAGCAGCTTGTGTGTCTATCATCCTTTCCCTTGGAGGTTGGACATTGGGCTGGGGCAGCCTGGGACAGGGGAAGGTGTCCCTGCCATGGCAGGGGTGGCACTGGGTGATGTTTAAGGTCCTTTTCAACCCAAACCATTCCATGGTTCTTCTTATCATTGCCACTGCCCACCCCTTGATCCCTGGGAGAGGATCCATGGATGCCTGTGCCACTTGCAAAGCTTCTAAAATAAAATATTTACAATTTGCATGCATTTGGCAGCATTTGCATTGCCCAGCTGTGTGTGTCTGTGGTTTTTTTGTGTGTGTGCTCCTTCACACATGGGCTGAAAGGGGAAGGCAATCTGGTTCTGGAAAGAAAAAATGGTAAAGGTGGGAGGCTGCTCACCCAGCTGTCCAAATCAAGGACATTTTACAAGTTTTTTTTAGATCTGTTACCAATGCTGGAAACAAAAATAAGTAATGGTCATTTTACATCAGTCTGATTCTACTGAAATCTTGTAAAATGGTTCTTGTGTGTTATGGCACCTTGCACATTTGTGGAAAGGTTTTCGTGGATTTTTACAGAATGTTGCTCTCCATTGTTTCCTTAGTTCAGTGTGTGGTTTGTACATGTTCTGGAATTTCTGTAACAGAGAAATATCAGACTCTCAAACAGTCTTCTGTGAGCTGGTGACAGGAAAAAACCTCTCTACATCTCCATTGTCAACCTCAGAACACCTTCCTGTCCTGAAAACACAATTCAGGTCATTCATGTGCTTCCTCCCAGGACACTGAAAAGTGTGAGAACAGATGCAGAGCAGATTTTTGTTTAATCTTTTGTATGTACATATAATATAAATGCACAGGTATAATCTCACACAATTTTACATATGTATTTAACTAAAGCAGTTGTAAAGTTAATTACAAGACTACTGTGAGCTATAAATACAAGAAAAAATCAGATCTGAGAATTACTCTATTTAAGGATAAAGTGAATTAAAATTTAAGTGCCAGAAGAAATGTGAACTTTTGAAATATTGTCAAAATTGATTAGTGAATCATTGCAAAAATGCACTTCACTGTGGGAGCAGTTCCAGTGAACCAAGACTCCAGTTCTCCCTGTTTCATGCTTTGAGAATTCCCAGAAGTCAATGGGATTATTCTTGGGGGTAAAATGAGCAGGATTTGGTTCCAGAGACACCTGGAACTTCCAAATGAGTTTCAATCCTGCAATGCAAAACCTCTGATTGCCTGAAAAGGGGAATTTGAGCAAAAGGAAGGCACTGAGTTGATTTGGGGAAGTCTACACAGAACATTCCTGGTCAGAAGGCAGAAATCAAATTTCCATGAAATCTGCAGCTCTAGGCATAGTTTCACTTGGTTTGCTGTGTTTTCAGGGGAGCCAGATACAATTCCTTGTGAAGGAAGGGGTAGGAGGAAGGTGCCCTGCTAAAAACTGCCCCATCCTAGTGCTCTAAAATAGGCTTACTGTGGCTTACTGGAATGAGCAACTCAAGCCCTGAACTCCTCTCACCAGGTTAATTCATGGAGATGTGTCATATTTTTGGCACTGTAAGGATCTGGGGGTTGCTTTGATAATTTTTCTCTCACTCAAAAATTTCTATTAGATTTATAACCATATATCCAGCTCATTAATCTCTTACAAGGTAAAATGAGTGAGCATTGTTGTTGTTTAGATCTTTCTCATTTAAAAAAGGAAGGGGAATAGGAGAAGCCCCTTCTCACCTCAGCATGTCCTGGTGAGTCACTCAAACTCTGCACAGGCTGCAACATCACATTAAATAATAATGTGACCCCCTGCTGTTTTGGTTCTTTTCTCTTTTTCAGAGCAGCTGACCCAGCTTCAGAAATGTGACTCATGGCCCCTCCAGCAAAGGGATCAGGAGCAGCTTCTGGGTTGGTGCAAGAGCCCCACGGGAGGCAGAGGTGATGAAGATGAGAGGAACCTGGCTGGCTGTGACCCTGGGACAGCTGCTGGCTCTGGGACACAGGCACAAATGGAAAAACATGGTATGTACACCAAAAAAAAAAACCACAAAAAACCCAAACTAAAACAAAACAAAAAACAAAACCAAGACAAACGAACAGAAAAAAAGAACTCCACAACCCACAAAAAAAAACAAAAACAAAAAACCAAAAACCCACTAAAACCAACCAAACAAAAACCTCCAAAACCCACAAAAACCAACAAAACAAACAAATAAAAAACTCAAAAAAACCCCCAAAACACTGCAACCCAAAAGACTGTAATTGTTATTCTCTCCCCTCTGAGACAGATACATAAATCTGCTCCTTCTCTGGCCCTGGTGGGTGTAAACCTGGTTTGTAGGATGCTGAATATGGGGAGGGGGCTTGAAGCATCAGCTTCATTTCTTCTTGTTCTGCTGCTTTGCACTTGGGAGAAGAGACCAAGCCCCATCTCACCACACCCTTCTGCTCCTTCTCTGGCCCTGGTGGGTCTAAACCTGGTTTGTAGGATGCTGAAAATGGGGAGAGGGCTTGAAGGACCATCCTGGGTAACCTGGTGTTAATGGACAGGCTTGTGTGGTTTCTGAGGACACACTGGCCTGGAGGGCGGATTCAGGTTAAGTCCAAGTGTGAATCTGCCAGCAGAACATCTCCTGGAGGTGACAGGAGGAGAAATGCAGGTGGCTGAGTGCCCTCAAACAGCAGCTTCCCTTCAGAGCTGACCTGGCTTTGAATCCCCGTGCAGGGACTTGGCAGAGGAGCACTGAGAGGAACAAGAGATTACTTTTATGGATGTGCTGCTCCTCTTTGTTCCTTTTCAGATGGATTCCAGGAAGTTCAGGCTGTTTGTCTGCCTGGTGGGGCTCAGCAGCGCCAGCCTCTGGCTTTTCCACACCTGGACCGAGCTGTGCCTGTTCTGTGAGAGCAGCCAGGGCTACCTGCTCCCCACGGAGCCCTTCAGGAGAATGGAAGGGAACTTCTCCCAGCTCCCAGACGTTGACTGCCACAAGGACCCCCCTTTCCTGGTGCTGCTGGTGGCGTGCTCGTTCCAGCAGCTGGATGCCAGGATGGCCATCAGGCACAGCTGGGGCAGGGAGAGGACGGTGGCTGGGAAGCGCCTGGTGACCCTGTTCCTGCTGGGGAGCCCTGGGGAGCCCAGCCAGCAGGCTGGCCTGGCTGCTGAGAGCCAGACATACAGAGACATCATCCAGAAGAACTTCACAGACACCTACTACAACCTGACCCTGAAAACCATGATGGGCATGGAGTGGATCCACAGGTTTTGTTCCCAGGCCAGCTTCGCCATGAAAACTGACACGGACGTGTTTGTCAACGTGTTTTACCTCACCGAGCTGCTCCTGAGGAAAAAGAAGAGCACTGGGTTCTTCACAGGGTTTTTAAAACTGCATGAGTACCCCATCAGGACAAGAAGGAGTAAGTGGTATGTGAGTAGGGAAGAGTATCCAGGAGCGACCTACCCACCCTTTTGTTCCGGGACTGGATATGTTTTATCCAGCGATGTGGCCAGCCAGATCTATAACATTTCTGAGAGTGTTCCCTTCATCAAACTGGAGGATGTGTTCATAGGGCTGTGCCTGGACAAATTAAAGATTCAGCTGCAGGAGCTGCACTCGGAGCAGACGTTTTTCCCAGAAAGGATCAGGTTCTCTGTTCCTCGCTTCAGGAAAATCGTGACGTGCCATGGGATCAAACCTGCTGAGCAGATGAGCTACTGGAACCACCTGGTGGCAGCCACCCAAGGAGGAGTGCTCTAGCACCTGCCCTGCCCCACTGAACAGACTGAAATTCTCTGCTTTTACAGGGCTGCTCCCCACTCCAGCAAAATCCCAATGAACTCCAGCTCCGTCACGTTAAAGGATTCAGAAATGGTTATTTTAATCTCAGAATGAGAGAATGGTTAATTGGAAAAGATCTCCAAGATCATTGAGTCAAACCTTTGACTAAACACCACCTGGTCACCTAAACCAGAGCACTGAGTGCCACATCCAGTCATTCCTTGAGCATCTCCCTGGGCAGCTCCTTCCAGTGCCCAATGATTTCCCAATCCAGTCAGTCCTTTCCTTCCTTTCCTTTTCTTTTCAAATCCTTCATGGCAATGATTTCCTGCATCCAGCCATTCCTTGAGCACCTTCCTGGGCAGCCCCTTCCAGTGCCCAATGATTTCCCAATCCAGTCATTCCTTTCCTTCCTTTCCTTTTCTGTTCAAATCCTTCTTGGCAATGATTTCCCACATCCCATCATTCCTTGAATACCTCCCTGGGCAGCCCCTTTTAGAGCTCAACCACCCTTTCTCTAAAAAAATTCCCTATTTCTGCCCAAAAGCCTGCAAACCTCCTTCTCTCCCATTCATTCCCACCTCTGTGCATCCCTTCTCCATACTAGTTATAATTTTTTTTCCTGAAATATTCAGGCCTGCTAACCCACCCTCCAAATCTTGCTGGCAGAGGCCTGGGAACATTTCTGCTGTGCCAAACAAAAAAAAAAAAAAAAAAAAGTCAAAGCACTTTTGTTCAGGGAATAAAATCTGCAGCATCTTCTTGATGAATTGCTGCACCCATCTGTGCAGGCACTTAGGGGATGGCATTTGTAGCTGTCAGGATGCTCCTCCTGGCACAGGGAGCTGCAGCCCTGCCCTTGCAGCCAGCTCTGAGTGGGCTGAGCTGCATCCTGGCACAGATCCCTCCTTCATCTACACAAATTGTATTTTATTTTTGCAGAGATGGCAGAATTTGCCCATGCAATGCTCTCAGGACAACCTTGGGCAGTGCAGGTCAGCTGGTGGAGGTGTAAAAGCTGCTGCAGCTCTTTCCTTGTCTGTGCTTCCTGCTGAAAATAATCCAGTGGTGGAGCCAGTGCAGGGTGTCTGCTCTTCCCATTGAAACGGACCCTGGAGACATCTTTTATATTTGTGTCTCACTTGGATTGCCTGAGAGCTGCTGTGAATGGCTTGCCAAGGCTAAACCAGGGTCACTTACAGTGATTTAGACTTTTTATTTTTTTTTTTCCAAAGAGAAACTGGGTGTGCGAGGGAGAAGACAGGAGGATTTTTCTCCTTTTATAACAAGACCTAGTGGAAAATGTGCTCAAGTAATCATTCAGGCTGGGAGTGCTATTTCTTATTTTCACTCCAGGCAAAGACTCATGAAATCTTTGGGATGATTATAAGTTTCAGAGATAAGGAGAGGGGTCTTTACAGCAGATGCTGAAAAATCCCTCAGGGCTCTGAGAAGGGAGAAGGGAGCTGAGAAATCCTCCCTTATGCAATGGTCCTGTTTGATTTTCCTGCAGGCACAGTTAGAGCTGATAACACAGGTCAGTGTTATCAGCATGGAATGCCTGTAATGTCTGTGGGAAGGGTTTTTTCTAAAAAAGCAGTGAAAGTGGAGCTGTGCCCAAGGGGAGCTGAGGGGATCCAACATCCAGCATGGGAAAAGCTTGGAAGAAAGGCAGGAAAACAGATTTTATTGTTTTGGAGTTATTTATTTTTATTGTTTCTTTTCATTGAAAAGAATGATTCCTCCTTCCTTCCTTCCTTCCTTCCTTCCTCTTCCTCTTCCTCTTCCTCTTCCGCAATGATTTTCCAAGTATCTCATTTTACTTGCCTGTGTCTGAAGAGCAGGGTAAATATTTTCAGCAGGAAGATCCTGAGAAGTGTTTAATAATGGTCATAATATATTGTTTATTTTCCTCTGGTGTAACCCGAGATCATGCACTTATTTTTGACCACTGATGATGAAAGAAACAATGTTCATTTGTTTGTCAGAAGAATGGTCTTTTGCATTTTAAGCTTCTTTAATAAAACTTTAATATTTTATTTAAAGAATTAAAATATTTAAATAGCTGCATTTTGCTTAAAATTCAGCTATTTTTAATACTTTAGCTGCCTTCAGAAGGCATGATGGCTCAGACTGATAAAGCCAAACCAACATCTTTTTAATCACTATTTTTTCCATGTAATATGCAGAAATATCTTGTGTCATTCATTGCTGTTGTGCCCAAGGTGCAAGATGGTTATTCCTTTAATTTATGGAAAATTGGTGAGAAGAAAGGGATTTACCCTGGTCATTGCTAGCTCCTTGTCTTGAGGGGCAGAGCTCTGTGAGCTGGGACAGCATCATCAGCCTGATGCTCTCTCCTTGTTCTCACAGGTAACAATACAGTCATAAAAATAATAATATAAGAATGAAATAATCCTGCAGGCAATTGCAGGTCTCACTCCCACCTCTGTGCCTGGTGCCAGCACTTTGTGGCTTTGCATCAGCATAAAAAAGCCACCCTTGAAGGTGGCTTGGCCTCTTGGCTGGGGCTTTTATTTGAGTCCAGGAATGTTCCAAATTACTTGAATCCAGCTGCTGACTGTTCTTCTGCAGACTCAACCTCTGTATTTTTGGGGTTAAATTCCAGTGGAAGATGTCTGCGGTAAGGGGTGGGAATGGATGTTCTTCGAGGCCTCCTCCACCCCAAACACAACCCAAACCCAACTCCAACCTCAAACCCAATCCAAACCATTCTGTGGGGGCTCCATGAATCCATCTCTGCAGGATTGGGAACAAGGACCTGACACCAGGTGCTGAAACCATCCTGGCACCGTTTCCAGGGAGATGGAATTGCCGTTTCCAGTGACCTGGGCAGGATGTCTCTGCTGCTGCCTTCAGGATGCTTTGTCCCCATCTCAGTCTCCAGTGGCCTGACTGTCCAGAACTATTTAATTTGTCCTCGCTGAGGAGCAGATGAGTTTGGGTTGAAATGTCAGGGATTCAGATTTTTGGGGATTTTTCTGCTCCTCTCCTCTTTGCAGAGGGGTTTCCCAAGTGAAATCTTACAGTCACTGCACAGAATTTTCCTCAGTGTAATGATTTTCTTTGTGCAAATGAGAAACTGATATTGTAATTCACAGAATCATAGATTTGTTTAGGTTGGGAAAAGAACTGCAAGTTCCCTGAGTCCAACCATTAGCCCCAAAAGGTGTCCCTAAGCACCACATCCGCACATTTTTTAATACTTTCAGGGACAATAGTTTCACCACTTCCTTGGGCTGCCTGTCCTGTGCTTTACCACCCTTTCTGTGAAGAAATTTTTCATAAATTCAATCTAAACCTCCCCTGGTGCAACTTGAAGCCATTTCTTCTTGTCCTGCTGCTTTTCACTTAGGAGAAGAGACCAAGCCCCATCTCATCACACCCTCACTGCACTCCTCCATGGAGTGCAGTGAAATCCCCCGAGCCTCCTTTTCTCCAGAATAAACCCTTCCCCTGCTCCCTAGGCTGCTTTGAATAAGAATATATTAATTGAGTAATTAATTACTTAAAACATAAAGTTACCCTGCTGGAAATTGTGATTTAAGAAAAAGCAGATGATTGCATGTAAGACAAATCCATTTGTTTAAACAAAGCCACTGTGCTAGTGAGTTTATATGTGTCTGCTAAATTAAATTAACTTTTGCAGCTGAGGCCTCAGATAATGAATTTTAAAGCAATCAAAACAGTATTAGTGGCCTTTTGCAAAATTAGATTCATTTTCCTATGAAAGGCCATCCCAAAACAATCAGAAATGTAAGTAGAACTGTAAACACAATACTGCAGTGTACATATACTTATTTTTTAAATTTTGTATAGGCTGATAAAAGAATTCAGGAAATTTGGGGGCAGTTTGCTTGCAGAAATTGAGCACTACCCCTATGTTTTTATGCATTCTGGGTTAGAAGTTCATTAAATGTTTATTTTTTTTAATGAATGGCTTTGAAAAGGTCATCTAAAAGTTACTCCACTGCTTCTAAGTAGGGAGGAGTTCAGAAATCAGCAGAGCTGGCAGTGTCTTAGAGTTGGTTGCATTTCAGCACACTCTATTTCTTCCAAGATCAGTTTTTGGATGCATAAAAATTAATACAATTTTTTCCCCCACAACCCTAATTCATCAACTAACACATTCTCAGTTTAAATTAGGAATTTCAAATCTGTGCACAAAGGATTTGGTCTCGCAGCTCCTCTGACTCAGACTTATTGAGGAGGAACAGCCCTCCCAGGCGCTGCTGAAAATACAGAAGTGGATTTTTGCAATGGAAGTTTTGCCTTATTTCAGAGTGGAAGGGGACAAAAGGGCTCCTGGGGTGTGCTGGACGTGACAGGGACGCTGCTCCTCATGGATGTGTGCAGGTGACAATGCCATGTTCATCTCAGAGGCGTGACAATGCTTGTGTTATTTGCATAGAACATGAGAGTGTTGAGCCAACAGTTTCATGTTTGGTATTTTATTAGTAAAGAATTTTGCTACCAGAGTTTTGTTTTGTGGTTGTGAATGTATCAATGTTTTGATGTGCCAGGGGGCTGCTTCCTTTTACAGTTAAAACCAGCAAAATTTGAGAATTATTTAGGTTGGAAATGACACTGAAGGTCATAGAGTCCAACTTTAACCCAGCCCTGCTGAGTCCTGCAGTCCCCATGTCCCCAAGTGCCACACCTGCACAGCTCTCAGATCCCCCCAGGGATGGGCACTGCAAAGCTCCCTGGGCAATTCCAAGGCCTGAGCTCCTTTTCCATGGGCAAATTGCTGCTGCTGTCCCAGCTGAGCCTGCCCTGGCCCAGCCTGAGGCCGTTCCCTCTGCTCCTGTCCCTGTTCCCTGGCAGCAGAGCCCGACCCCCCCGGCTGTGCCCTCCTGGCAGGGCCTTGTGCAGAGCCACAAGGGCCCCTGAGCCTCCTTTGCTCCAGCCTCAGCCCCTTCCAGCTCCCTCAGCCCCTCCTGGGGCTCCAGCCCCTGCCCAGCTCCGTTCCCTGCCCTGGACACGCTCCAGCCCCTCCAGGGCTCTCCTGCAGGCCCAGAACTGGGCCCAGCCCTGGAGGGGCCTCTCAGAGCCAGCACAGAGGGACAATCCCTGCCCTGCTCCTGCTGCACACACAATTCCTCATCCAGCCCAGCTGCCAGGGGCCTCTTGCCCTCCTGGGCACCCCTGGGCACCCCTGGGCTCGTGTCCAGCCTCTGTCACAGCACCCCCAGGGCCTTTTCCAACCCCTCTGCCCAGCCTGGAGCTCCATGGGGTTGTGGTGACCCAAAGGCCGGACTCAACACTTGGTTTTCTGAAATCTGAATTTGAAGCTGTTGAATTTTCTCCCCTTCTCAAAAATGATTTAGGAAATAGTGAGGGGAATTGAAAGAAAAAGAGAAATTTAACCACAGCTGATACCTTTGGGAGGAACAAGAGCCAAATTGAAGTGATTTCTGCCTCACTGTGTGCCTGAGGATGGCTGCCAGGCCCCTTCTGGGACCTGCAAGTACAGGGCTATTCTCTTACCACTTAAAAGAGAAATGTGAAATAACTGAAGACTG